ATATTGACTCCATTCTTAATTTTTCCTGTCAATCATAGTGACTTATATTAGTCATGATTTGCCTTTCCTTCTTCCTGTTTGGCAAATATTAGCTGATTATGATTTCACCTTTCCTTTTGATTGGTGTTCATATATATTTTTTTATTTCTAGAATGCCTTCCACAAGTTTCAAGTAATTTTTTTTGCATTCTGCTTTTGAAAAGGGGTAGTACTTTTTTGAATTTCTTGAATTTCTTCATGTTTTAAACTCTAAATAATAAATAATTCAGGAATATGTCTCCTCTGAATCATCTATTTACACTCAAACATGCTCATGCTTCTTCTGTCTTAAAGTCCTCTGCTCCTCCCTACAAGCTATGGTCCTTTCTCTCTTGTTCTCATTGTGGCCATACAGCTGAAAGAAGCTGCCTGCCTTTGCTTTCTGTGGCTTACTGCTATTTATTCTTTATTCCACTGACATAGATTCCAGCTCCACCTTTCACCCAAACTACTATTTTTGACAGTAGTGGCTTTATTGTTAATGAATCCCATGGAATTAGGACTTGCTGCTTTGACAGAATGTAAGTACAACACTGACTTCCTGTGGCTTTTTTAATGTAATATATTCTTATCCTTCTCAGTTTCTTGCCACATCTTTCCAGTATACTCTGAAGATTCACTCCTTATGTTTGTATCTAAGACAAGCTTCTCCAACCCATGGGCCGGGTGCGGCCCAGTGAGGCTTTGAATGCGGCCCATATACAAATTTGTAAACTTTCTTAAAACATTTAGATTTCTTTTTGTTTACTTTTTTTTTTGAGCCCACCAGGTATCATTAGTGTATTTTATGTGTGGCCCAAGACAGTTCTTCCAGTGTGGCCCACTGAAGCCAAAAGATTGGACACCCCTGATTTAAGCGTTTTCTAGTTTTAGTTACTTACAGTTAGGTTTCTTGATTCATTTTGATCTAATTTGTGTGTCTAACATGAAGTATTTGGGTGTCCCCCTTTATTTATTTATGTATTTATTTTTTCACTTGTTTATATGTATATGGCTTTCTAATTACTACAGCATCAGCTGTAGAAGACACTACTTAAAAAGCAATTGACTGTAACTTATATCTGAGCTCTCACTTCTGTTTCATTGATCTCTATGTCTCTTTTATGCCATTACCACACGGTCTTGATTACTATAACTTTGCAGTAAGTTTTGAAATGGGACATGCCATCCCACCAACTGTCTTGTTTTTAAAGATCGTTTTGGCTGTTCTGGGTTCCACTGAATTTCCATATGAATATTAAGATCAACTTGTCCATTTCTGCAAATAAGCCAGCTGGGATTTTAGTTGATATTTAATTGAATCTGTAGATCAGTTTGGAAAGTATTATCGTTTTAACAATATTAAGACCTCCTGTCCATGAACATTGAATATTTTTTTAATTTTATTTAGATTAAAAGAAATTGTCAAGGTTTTGTAGTTTTTAGTATACAACTTTTGCTTTATTTTGTGATTTTATTCCTAAGTATGTTATTCTTGATTCTGAGGTAAGTGGAGTTGTTTTTTAAATGTCATTTTTGAGTTGTTCACTGCTGGTGTAAATAAATAAAACTGAGTGTTGTATATTAATGTTGTATCCTAAAACCTTGCTAAACTCCTATTAGTTTTATTAATTTTTTTGTGGATTACTTAGGATTTTCTATACACAGGTTTGTACCACCCACCTGTGACAGAGACTGTTTTAGTTCTTCCTTTCCTGTGTAGATACTGTTTATTCCTTTTCGTTACATAATTGTCCTGGCTAGAACCTCCAGTACGATGTTGAGTAGAAGTGGTAAGAGCAGACATCTTTGTCTTGTCTTAGCATAACACATTCAGTCTTTCATTGTTAAATATGTTGTTAGCTGTGGAGTTTCCTAGTTGATGAGTGTTTTTATCATCAAGGAGTGTTGGATTCTTCTGTCAAATGTGTTTCTCTCTGTTGAAGTTACCATTTAGTTTTTGTCCTTTATTATATTATTACATTAATTTGTGTTTGGATGTTAAACCAACCTTATAATCTTGGAATAAATTCTCCTGGTTCTTGTGTGTTAATTATGCTGCTGCATTTGGTTTCTTAATGTTTATTTGACAGTTTTAACACCTGTATGCTTAATATAAGCATATTTGTGTATAGTTTCCTTATCTTGTGCTTTCTATATCTGGTTTTCCTATCAGGACAATACTGGCCTCATAGAATGTGTAAGGTAGTGATCCTTCCTATTAAATTTTTGAAGAGCTTGTGAAGGAGTAGCATTAATTCTTTAATTAAATGTTTATTAAAATTCACTATTGAATTTTAGGATTTTCTTTGAAGGAAAATTTTTGAGTATTTATTTTGATGTTTTTCTTATTAAAGAAAAAACTTTTTCTATACACAGCACTTCTGATAGCAGATGTTCCCCTGCCCCGAATACCATCCAGTTCTTTGACTCTCCAGACACAAAACCAGTGTTCTAAGGTGACTTACAGTTCTGACACTGTCTGGAGATAGCATCTGACCTCACAAGTTAAAAATCAGACTGCTCCGCTTTAGGTGCCAGTTTTAAGTCCCAGGCCTCCCTCACTTCTGACCAACTTGACTACAAATTGAGAATACAGAACCCTCTCCTCAGATCCTGTGATTTGCCATAATTCAGAGTAACAACCTGTTTACTGTTACTGGTCACTGTAATGTAAGAGATACTATAAAGATGAATAGCCAATTAAAGAGGTACTAGGGCAAGGTCTGAGCACAGGAGCTTCTGTCCCTGTGCAGTTGGGGATGTACCACCCTCAGGGCAGGCAGGTAGTTAATCAACCCAGAAGATCTTCACATCCCATCATTCAAAGTTTCTATGGAGGATTCATTATATAAGCATGACTAAATAAGTCTTCGGCCATTGGTGACTGAGTCAGACTCCAACCCCTCTTTCCTCCCCAGAGGTATAAGGGGTATAAGGAGTTAGGGCTTGAAGCTTCAACCCTCTAATTCTGCCTTGGTCTTTCTGGGAAATAGCTCCTATCCTCCAGGAGTTACCTTATAAGCATACTCAGGTATGGTTGAAAGGGGTTTATTAAGAGTAACAAAAGATGTTCCTCTCACCTCCATTACTAAATTCTAAGGGGTTCAGGAGCTCCCTGTAAGGAACTTGCAGTAGAGAACAAATAGATCTTTCTTATTATTTCACGCATGTTATTGTCTCTTTATATTTCTGTTTCTTCTTGAGTCAGTTTTGGTAGTTTTTGTCCTTGTTCATCCATGCTGTCTACATTACCAAATATTTTGGCATACAAAATGGCAAACAAAAAATGGCATATTTGTTTGTAGAATTCCCTGATGATCTTTTATTTCTTTAAAGTCCAAGTGATGCCCCATTTTCATTTGTAATTTTAACAGTCTGTTTTATTCTTGGTGAGTTTAGCCTTTTAAACAAACAACTTTTGATTTCGTTGATTTTTCTCTATTTTCTGCTCTTTTTCATTTGTTTCTGCTCTATTTTTTGTTATTTTTTTCCTCTTTCTTCGGGTTTGATTTGTTCTGTTCTACTTCTAAAGGTAAAAGCTTAGATTATTGGTTTGAAATCTTTTATTTTAAAAAAGTAGATATTTAAGAATTGAGCCTAGGAATTCAGGCCTGGAGTGAGCCATGATCACACCACTGCACTGCAGGCTGGGAACAGAGTGAGACTCTGTCACCAAAAAAAAAGTAAGGGAGAAATACAGCAAGAAAGGCTCCTCAGTAATCTTAATTTTAAACAGTTAAAGTTATCTTTAATAGGACTTAAAGTTTTGCATGATTTGACCTCCGCTCTGCCTTTCACTTTAAGCTTCTATTTCCACCCAGATTGTTTTTACGACTCAACCACTTAGCACCTCTTTTGGTACCCTGAACTCAGCTTTACATTTCGTTCTTTTTAAATATTTGTTTGTTTGAAACAGAGTCTCACTCGGTCACACAGACTAGAGTGCAGTGGCATGATCATGGCTCACTGCAGCATCCCCCTCCCAGGTGCAAGTGATCTCCCCACCTCAGTCTCCCAAAGTGCTGGAGTACAGGCATGAGCCACCATGATCAGCCTGCTTGAGGTTTTAAAATGTGTTTTTCCTTCTATGTGTGATACTCTGCTGTCCATCTTCTGGTAATTAGTTCTCATCCTTAGGCAGCACTTCTTGTAATGAATTTACTATTTCCTTTTTGATTCTTTAGGCCTGAACTTTCCCTTTTCTATAAAATAGATTACACTTGGAGTTACCCATGTCTTGGTTGATGATTGTTGAACGGAGTTCAGGGTGCTAAGGAAGAGGGAGATATCAAGGATGACTCCTAGAGTTTCTTACTTGAGTATTTGGATAATAGTGTAAGATGAAAAAAGAAGAGCAGATTTTCAGGAATAAGATTTAGGTGTTCAATTTTAAAAATGTTGAATTTCACAATTTGTACAGTTTTCTGTTGGAAATATACACAAACCCTGTGTCCCTGTGATTCTTAGCTACATGAAAGCTATCCTATTGTGTGTGTGTGTGTGTATGTATATATATGTATATATATATATATGGCTCCATCCTCTTTGCTAGATTGAAGTCCTTGGATGCTGGGCCATGGCTTAATTCCTCTTTGTTTCTATGTTACTTGGTTCATCATAGGTAATTAATGCCTGCTAGTTGAATTGAGTTGTAAATAACAATGCCCATATATCAGTTTTAGGATATTTTAATTTTATTGTAAATGTCTCACTGGGAAAGTATGCCCAAAGAAAGGAGTTAATGGCTGATTGTAGAAAATTTTAGCTTGAGGAAAAAATGCTGTAGTTTTCTTTCTTCCTTTTTAAAAAAAAAAAAAAAAATTGTTCTATCATTTTTATTTTAGTAAACTTGTATCTTGTCTTGTAAATTTAACTATTTTCCTAACCCTTTTTCTATTAAGAATTACTTGCGTTTTGTTGTAAATATTTTTATATTTCGAATATGAGGTGAATTATACTATCTTCTGTCTTTTGTGTAGGATTATAATGATGAGATCAGGCAAGCACAGCTTCAGGAATTAACATACTTGAATGGTGGTTCAGAAAATGCAGATGTTCCAGTGGTTCGAGGGAAACCCACCTTGCGTACAAGAGGTGTACCAGCCCCAGCAATAACCAGGTAGGTGTAATTTTTACTTTTAGGTTAACATACCATATTCCTTTATTAATAGCCCAAACCAGTTCTATCTAAACAAAACTTGTATTCATCTGGGCACGGTGGCACATGCCTGTAGTCCCAGTTACTCGGGAATCAGGCCAGGAGTTCGGGGCCATGGTGTTCTATGATAGTACCTGTATGATAGCTGCTGTACTCCAACATGGGCAACATAGTAAGACCCCATGACTCTAAAAATAATAATAACTTTTTTAAGCCTACAGTCAAACAAGTGATGTCATATTAAGGGGATTTGCTTTGGAGTGAGGTGTTCTTAAGCTTAAATATAACCTGTGACACTTATTAGCTTAGGTAATAAGTGACACTTATTAGCTTATTATTCTAGGTAAATTATTATTCTCTATAATATTAATTTTTTAATTCTTTAAAATGAGGCTTGTTTTTCATGTAAGTAATTGCATTGTTATGAAGATTGGGATAGCAGTCACTTGTTTAGTCATTGAGTAAACCGTCAGGCTAGTTCACTGCCACACCACCAATGCTGAGCAGTGTCAGACACCAAGTCAGTGTCCACATGCTTGTTGTCTTTTTATTCACTGTAAATGCTCTATGATATCTGTAAATTCCTGAGCTGGTCTAGGCACACGGATTTTTTATTTCTGTCCTTGGATTGGTGATTAATGTTAATGGGAAAAATGTTTTAAAGAAATCACAAATCTGATATGACTATATCAAATTTATTTGATAATTATTTTTAATTTTTCAATCTTTGTCTGAAAAGAGGTCAGTGGAAAGAAGAAATGCAAATTTTTTTCCATTAAACTTATGAGTATGGATAGATTGTTATTTTAGATAGAATTTTGCATGAAAAAATTTTAAATAGCATTCTTATATATCTCTAAGTTTATTTGGGAAAACAAAAAGTCACTTCCTCAATTATGCATTGGTGATCAGACCAACATCAGAGCAGTTACAAATGCAGTAAACATAGGTACGGGCATGACACGTGGATTGTCTCTCTTATAGGGTTGCTATTGATGATTTCATGAGATAATTTATGTAGGTAGTAAGTGATAAATCTCATTTCTATTTTTTCTACCATTAAATTTACTTAAAATCTTAAGAAATTACTTACCTGCTACATTATTTTCATGTGGGTGCTGTGACAAATTACCACAGATTTTGTTTTGGCTAAAAATGATAGAAATGCATTCCCTCATAGTTATGGAGGCCAGATGTGAAAATCACTATCACTAGGCCAAAGTCGAAGAGTTGGCAGGGTCGCTCTCCCTCTGGAGGCTCTTGGGGGGATTCCTTTCCTTGTCTTCTCCAGTTTCTGATGACTACATCATTTTTTGATTTGTAGGCACATCACCCTCACCTCTCCATCCTCACACAGCCTTCTCGCCTTATATCTATAATCTCCTTCTGCCTCCCTTTTACAAAGAGACATGTGGTTATATTTAGGGTACACCAGGATAATCCAGAGTAATCCATCCATCTCAAGATCTAAATTCCATCTGTGAAGTTTCTTTTTCTAGATAAGGTAACATGAACAGGTTCCTGGGATTAGGGCAGCATAATTTTGATTGGCCTACTATTCATCCTACTGCATTTCCATGTTAGTTTTATCTTTGTTGTGATGGGAGTCTGTACATTTTCTCAAAATATGCCAAATACAACAAAACACATTTTAAAAACTCTTCTGAAAGTCTCCAAACTTGTCTTGTCCCTTTGTTTGTTTATTTGTAAATTCAGGGTAAATAGTATGTGTTCATAAGTGGCTAGGTCCATTATTGATGCCGTAGCAGATCGCAGACCTCCCAATCAAAAGGCATTGTCTGTTACTCCTTTGAAACAGTAGAGATTCAAACATCTGTCCTCTAATCTCACCCAAAGAGTGAGCAGAAAATGCATATAGATAAGTAAAAAGAGAAACAGACCAGGCACAGTGGCTCATTCCTGTAATCCCAGTGCTTTGGGAGGCCAAGACAGAAGGATCGCTTAAGGCCAGAAGCTTGAGACCAGCCTGGGCAACATAGCCAGATCCTGTTTCAACAAAAATAAAAATAAACTAAAAAGAGAAACATAAGTCTCCCAGACATCACATACATATGTTAGCATTCCAATCTTCTTGGTGAAATACAGATAAACATCTCCAATGGATAGCCATAAATTTGCCTTCATATAATGTGGTAATATCTTCAGTGGCATTCCTGTTGCCATATTCAGTTCCTTAGTCTTTTTTATTCTGCCTTTAAATTAAACCTCAAGTCATTTTTTTCTTTAATCAGCTCTGCCATCCTTCTCAGTCTAATCCACACTACTCTGCCATTTTCCATCACAATGACTTTTTCAAATTAAATGTGATCTTAAATTTTCCATACTTAAAATCCTTCAGTGACTTTCTTTCCAATTAGAAGAGAATCCATACTTCCTCATATGGATTTACATGATCCAGCACTTGGCACTCTCCTCCCCTTCCTGACTATCTTATTCCACTTTTCCATTGTCTTAACTCCAGCCTTACTGGTCTTCTTTCTGTTGTTCCTTGAATAGCCACAGCTCATTTCTTTCCCAGATCCTTCCCATCTACTCTTTCTCTCCTTGGAGGCTTTGTCTCCAGGTGTCTGACTGCCTCCCTCTCAGCATTGCATCCTTAGCATACACCAGCCCCTGGTCAGAGAAGTCCTTGCCAAGCACCCAGTGTCAAGGGGTCATCGTCTCAGCCAGAAGCTGGTTCAGCACACCCAGTCCTGGTGGTGTCATTTGTCAAACTGATTTACCTTATTTATTCACGCTGTCACTGGTTATTCCTTATTGGTAATGTAAACCCATAAAGACCCATGTGTTCCTAGTACCTTGCATATGGTGATTGCTCAGTAAACAATAATGTGAATAAAATGCTAAAGCACATTCTTCAGCCTCTTTCTGATCAAGTGTTGAGCACTAGAAATGTTCTTTTGTTAATGCTGATCCTATTTGCCGCAGGACCAGGTATGTCAAAATACTAGTTTTGCCTGACTCAACACTTGTGAGTCCTCCAGGATGCTGCCTTCTGTTCCTCTCCTAACATTCGGCGGCTTCTGTGCTGCTTTTCTGTGGCCCTTTGCTCTGGCCCTTTCTTCCACATAGAAGCAGTCCTACCTCCCCACGTTTGATACCAGAAGCAGCAGGAAGAAACATAAACAAAGGAGAGTATGCCCTCTTCCTAAGTAATATGTGTGTGTGTTCACAGATATTGGGTGCTTAATGTAGTGGCTTTAAGTGGGGACATTAGGCTATCCCAGTCACCCAAGGTCATTTATCAGTTTTCATTGAATTGGGGAAATTTTCAGTTACTGTTTCTTCAGGTATTTTACTTGCCCCATTCCCTGTTTCCACACTATGGGAACTGTCAGCCTCAGATAATCCTTTATAGTTTCATTTCAGCTTTAGATCATATGTTACTGATTTTAATGATGTCACATCTTTGTAAAGCTAGTATTTTAGCAGGTGCTGAGATGAACAATAATCATTATCTGAAAATAAGTATGGATCGGGAAATGAAAGTGACAGTGTCCTATCTGATCCCATGACGTAGCACTCTATATACATAATAATTGCTGCTATTTCATAATGAAATAAAATATTTCCTTTCAATTATAATACATATTATAAAATAATATATTATTTCTCAAACAGCGGCAAAGTTGTTGGGAAATAAATATGTAAATTGTTTGGTACTCACAATTTAATCACCAAATTTGTTACTTATTGATTTGGCCTAGGGTAAATACCATGAAAAAAGTAATGAAACACTGAACACATTGTGAATTGAGAAATTTAAGTCATGTGTCTTTATGATATTGTTCTGTAGGCTGACTCTCTGTTCATTTTCTGTTATTTTTTGTCTGTTTTACAGAACAGTCTATGTCTTGATGTAGCCTCAAAGTTCACTGACTCCTTCCTTTGTATTTTAAAGCCAATCCAATGATTTTTTCATTTCAGATCCTTTTTATTTTCAGATGTAAAATTTTCATTTGATTTTTAGTAGTTTTTACTTCTCTGCTGAGTTTTTTTTTTTAATCTGTTCATTACCAGGATATTTACAAAAGTAATCAGACCCAGGTTTGCTTGCTGGCTGCTCAAAAGCCAAAACACAAGAGGCAAACATAGGAGGTAAGGGTTGATGGGAAGAAAAACAAGTTTAATTAGAGAGTCAACCAATTGAGAAGATGGTGAACTAGTATTCCAAATTTTAAATTTTACCCTGTGGGTTTTAAGGGGAAACTTGGTGTTGGACACAGGTGGAAGTGCTGCAGAGCTCAGGAGCTACGAGTCTTGTTCCAGTGACTATCCTGGATAATCGCCCACCTGGAGGTCTGGCTGGTGTTACCTTGACTTCAGACCAGTGGTGGTGGACTAATTGTTCTTGATTCCTGCTAAGTAAGGGGATTCCACAGGGGCTTTGTGCCTGGTTTAAGATTATCCTCTGAAATTTCTTAGGTAAGAACATAATTTGATAAGCATGCATTGTTGGAGGGGAGTTTCTAGAGAGGGAAAGAATGAAGAGGTGAGACAGGAAGGAAGGAAGAAAAAGTGGGTGATTTTTAAAACAGATCCCTGCTTATGCTTTTACACATTATACATTTTTGAGAACTTTAATTCCTTCTCTGCTAATTAATCTGGTTTCATTGGAGTAAATACTGTGTTGTGAAAACTCTGGAATTTGTTACATTCCTCCAAACAGTATAGCTTTTATTTTATTTTTTTAGAGTGTTTTAGCAGGTAGCTTAATTGAACTACAACTGCAGACTGTATCTGTTGGTAAGCAGCTAAAATCTCAGATGGATCCTTCATCCTTTTCAAGGATACTCAGGGTCTGCTGTATGCATTTGTGGTTCAGTTGTCCCTGGAGAGCTGGTGAGAGTTCATACACAGAATTTGTGCTCCCTGTCTCTGACTCTCTTCCTTCTGCAGTTCCTTTCTCACTTTCCAGCAGCTGTGGTTGCTCAAAACTT